TGCTTATACCCCTTGCCTTGGTTTTGTGCATGACTTTTAAGGTAAAACAAAGATTTCAAAGAAGTTATGAACTTACAGTCTATGTTGACTTTGACTGTTAGGGGTATTTTGATGGAAGAGTTTGACAAACACTGGATAATTTGAAGCCTTTCAAGGGAGGGCTAAATAGGAGCTCTTAAAGCTAGGGAAAAAATGACTGATCTGAGTGTCACTGGAGCAGGAGTGTCAGCGAAAGGACCATTAGTAAACTACAGCAGGACCAGAATCCAGAAGGGTGTGGCAAGAATGGAGAATGCGGAAGAAATAGCAATGTTCACTTAGGCCCCATGGAGATGTAGTTGATGAAGTTCAGAGGGAAACACTTGAGGAGTCTAGTTGGCTCCTCGTCTGGCTGGAGTAGTCACCTGGGTAGAGGTGCATGAGAAAACAGGCAATGTCATACATTCTTTTGAGAGTGGGAACAGGTACAACTTCTGTGGAAGGGTATTGCAATTTTGACAAAATGAAACAATGAGCATCCTTTTGACTAAAACAAAAAAAAAAAAAAGAAGAAGAAGAAGAAAAGAATTTTCTGCTCCAAAAACAGATTTCTCACCTGCAAACAGACCAGAAATGCCTAGTAGAAATGCCTTCTAAGAAAAGTGGAAATACCATTTGTTCAAAATAAAACTGTTTTAGATGATTCGTTAAATGAGTTCTTATTGTAGTAGAATTGAGGCTTAATTGGGAAAGGTTTGAACACCAGTTGGAAATACCCATTAGCATGTAAACACTGGTGAGTGATACATCATATATGTAGCACCCATAGTATACTGTACTCTTCCCAGATGCATTCTTCAGGTAGGTGAAATGTATTCTTTCAGGGCTAAAATTTTTAGTTTTTTAAAAAGTTCTCTTTCTAGCATGTCTCACAGACTTGTCATTTGTATTGAACATATGAAACATTTTAACATTTTCTTATAACTGAGGGATATGGTGAGCATTAGTTATCATATACCATTGTAATCTGGTGATGCCCTTGAATTGAGGCCTATTGAGGTGTTTAGGCCTATCTGTTCTATGCTAAATGAACCCATACCACTGTGCTTTTATCATTTATTGCATCTACATCAGAATGTTCTTTTCTGGCAGCACTTTTCACTGAACTCCTTCCCCGCTGGTTTGCTGTTTCTTATCTGCAGAAGGCCAGAAAGCAAGGTAGCCAAACTTGTTGAAATTGCATGTAATATGACCAGACCCAAGTTCTGAGTTTGTGGTTGTGGTAGTCTGTGGGCATTATAACATCTACTTTAAGTACTGAAATGCCTTTTTTAGGGGCTGTCTGGGGCACACCTCCTTGTTCGTAGTTGTATGTAAAAGATGTCAGTGTGGGTTAAGTTGGTATTTTGGTACACTGATAGGAAATGATTGTTAGCCATTCATTCATGCGGGGCTTTCCTAAGCAACCCTAAGTTAGCCTAGTTATTTTTCTTTTAAAAAAATAGTAAGGTTAAAGTTTTAAAACTAAATCATTTGAAGTTTCCTTCTGCTCAGGTTATGTGATTCAAGTTATTGAGGTTTTTAAATATTTGAAATTTATTTCTTATGTTTTCAAAAAATGAAGTCATTTTTTTCAATCACGTAGTTCATCTTTCAGAACATACCTGATACCTGTGTTTTCTACTTACCTTTTCTTCTATCCTAAATGAATCTAATAATATAGGATTTCTTTTCTTTTAAAATCATTTGTAAATGAGCAAAGCGTTATCTCCGCAGTCCTTCTATTTCACATTTAGTTCACACACGTTATAGTATTTACTTATATTCTAGACAGTTTGAAATCTTTTCTGTAAATAATAATTCATCAGTAACAGCTGTTTTATTCTGGGATTTGATGTTATAGGATGTTATCTGTGATATCATTATATATTTCTGAATATATAATGTGAGTATATATACACATATGTGTAAAATAATGAATAATCAAGAATTTTATGTATTTTCTGCTTTTATGACCTTATAAAGAAAATGTTAATTACTTTTCATAAAAGTAACTCTAGATAATGATCTAAAACAATCATTGGTGCATGTTCTCTTGTATTTGTTTTTTTTAAAATGTGACAATAGAAATTATTTTTATTAGTAGTTTCATGATCCACAGACTTGATTTTACAAGTAAAGTTATTATTACCCATGATCTCTAGTTGACATTCAAAGGTGGTTTTCATTAAATTCTATTGAGAAAGCACAAGCTGCCTCTGGAGTTATTCTGGAATTTTGACATGGGTGGATTCAGAAACCCACTTGGGTACCCACGTGTCATCAAACTCAGTTCCTCACTTGGTACCATAAAGAAAAAGTGTTTCTATCTTACTGACCCAATCTTGTATTTTTACGTGGACCACATTACGTAAGTTACATTTGGCCTTTATACCTATAGGAAAGACAAGTTATGAGCGACATTAATCCCTATATACAGCCGTTTCGTATTCCTAGTTAGGTTGTATAACAATACACATTTGCTGACTAGCCCATATGTAAAGTTTCTTTAAATGCATTGAGAACAATGTATGGCTACTTGTACAGAGTGAGTGGCTGCTGAGTGTGATAATCTCAGAAACTTCAGGAACAGATTTCCTACTTTCTTGGGCAAGTGTTTACTTAGATTTGTGATGCCACAAGCTTTTGGTTTCAAATTTGTCTTCATTGAGAAAATCATGGCCAATGACTAAGGAGTTAGAATAACACAGCTTCAGAGGTAGAAAGATGTCTGGTAGATAAGCTCACTCCACGTCTTCCATTTAATCATGAGGATGCTGAGGCCAGAAGGAGAGACTGACTTGGCAAATACATACAGAGAACCAGTCATACCAGATCTGCGTTACTGTTTCACCCTGCTGCTATATATTAGACTGGTCATTTTTGTCACTTTTAAATGTGTTCATTGTTGTGCAAGTTGTGAGTAGAAATCCCTCTTCTCTTGTGTTTAAAAGTAACCACCTTGCCCTTACTGGTGTGGCTCAGTGGATTTAGTGCTGGCTTGCAAACCAAAGGGTTGCCGGTTCCATCAGGGCACATCCCTGGATTGTGGACCAGGTCCCCAGTGGGGGCCACATGAGAGGCAACCACACATTGATGTTTCTCTCCTTCTCTTTCTCCTTCCCTTCCCCTCTCTCTGAAAATAAATAAAATCTTAAAAAAAAGAATTGCTATAAAAATCTTTAAGTATCCGGTGGGTCTCTGACTTCACTACTAGAAATATTTGCTAGCACTCCTTCAACTGCACTCCTCCGCCATATTATAGGAAACAGAAAGGACCCTGTCGCTCCAGTGTATACCTATATAGAGGATCAGCATCAGTGGATTACCACTAACAAACCTGTATGACTTTGTTAACCAATGTCCCCCCGATAAATTCAATAAAAAGGAAAAAAGATAGTTTTCTTTTTTTTATTTTATTTAGTTATTTTTCAAGTACAGTTTTTTGTCTATTTCTCCCATCCCAGCCCCCACCATGCTCCCCACCTCCCTCCCATTTCCTCCCCCCCAGTCCTCATCCCTGTGTCCTTCATACTTGTTCCTCCAAATCAAGTTTTCAAAATATACTTTTTTTATTTATATTACTGTTTATCTTTTTTCCCCCTAGTCCACATTAATTGAATAGGAAAGAACTAGAAAACTGAGAACTTCGACATGAACATTGGTATTTTATGTGACTATGAGATGAGACAGAAGTTTCTCTTGAGTGTGGTATCAGGCATTTCTGTCTTTGTAGTTCTGTATCCAGCATCTGGAGAGTTTAAACTCCCTCTCACCAAAGTTATATAGCACTTGAATAATTTAATTAGGAATCATGTTGTTGTGAAAGTTTTTATGCCTTTTGAATTAATTAGTACCATCCTACTACTGGATTTCAGCACACATGATTATTAACAGTTCCTCCATTTATGCTTAGATATATATACAATGGTTTAATGTGGAATGAGTTTTGATAACAAGGTTTCTATTTTGACGTTGGTACTCATGATAGACTTTGAAATATTTTCCTGGGGTTTTAAAAAGAAGTCTAGCAGTCTGAAATAAACTTTTAGGGAAAAAAAGCAGGTGTATTTTTGTAATGGTGTTTGGGGGGAAGGAATTTCGCAGTATATATGGTTCTCTGATATATTCTTTCTGTCATAATTCTGTCCCTCCCACGCCATTTCCAGGACTGTAAGAATTTCAGCTCTTTAGGGATCCCCTCAGTCCTTTGTTTCAGTACATAGAACTTTTCCTCTTCCCTTTACCTGTGTGTGTATGCCTTTAGGAATTGTAAATGCATTAGGCTATAGTACTCACTTCTGTGATGGGCTATTTTTGGTACATGATATTCTCTAACCCAAACATTCTCTGAGGTACCGAGACCCATGGTTTTATACATGCAAAAGGAAGTGATTTGGAATTCCTGAAAATATTGTAGACTCTTTTAACTTGGGCCATTTTATGGACTTTCAGGTATATATATTATCCAGACTAAGCCAACAGTGTTCCCCAAATAAGTTTCTTAGAGAACCTTATAATGAATAGATGATTTGTTGTTAACTTATCAGTAAAGTTTGTATCAGTGGTTTCTTCTGTCTGACAAATGTGAAGTGTTCTGTACATAAATAAATACTTTCAGTCCTTTGTACACAATTATTTTCCTCAGCAATCCTTTATCAACCCTTTTGAGAACATTACAAGGATTAGTTCAGTTCTTTCCATGAATATATGCTTTTCTAAGTTTTTCTACTCTGTTGGTTTTACAAAGTGAACCATCAATTGCTACTTCTTCTTGGGCCTTAGTGTGTTCTATCATGGTTGTTAGTTAACATATGTTTTGGCTGTTGAGTTAACAAACACAATGTATTGTTATGGTTTTTCTAGATTATAAACCCTGAAGTCAGGAGCTGTGCTTTGCCTCCCCAGCTTAGTGCCTTGAATCTGAGTGCACAGTGAAATTCGAGAGAAGCAGGAACTCAAACTATTATTTTTTTAAACAGATTTGGTTCATTTGACTTGTACATCTTCTAAAACAGCAAGAGAAGATTTAGAACCAGTCGTGCAGAAATTGTTTACTCCAGATACGGAAACGGACATAGGTAAGAACAATAATCATAAGCAATATCATAATGACCTGTAACATAATCACTGTACTTCTTTTAAGTATCCCGTGAAGGTTATGCGGTCTGAACTGAGATGTGAAGCATTCAGCAATGATGCTTACATGTTTTATTAGGATGATTGAGCACATTCTTTTCCTAAAAACGGGAAAATATTCTCTCTATAATGATAAAGGAAAATTGACATCACACACAATGTATATAATTAAGTGCAAAGGTTATACATTTAGATGTGTACATTTTCCTGCCAGAAAATCTCAATTTGGGAAAGAATACTTTTATTTTTTATACTTTTCTTTCTTTTATATGTGTTGTCTAAAGAGTGTCTATTTCTTTACCAGAAAATATGGTCCTCATTAATGAAAAAAACATTGGTTCAACTGAGAGAAGGTTAAAATGTTAATTGACAAATGTATTACTACTTCCTAATTGCTGTCTTTTAAATGCATAACATGTTAGTGACCTGATAAATATTTAGTTCTCAAAATAGATACACCACTATGCTACTTGTTCATGGTGGGAAAATGCTCTTCACCACAGATTTTTACACTTACCCCCCTACATCATAGGATAGCTCTTGTAGTTGTGAACGGAGCAAATTGTAGTATATTCTGGGTATAAGTGATTAAAACACAGCCTGATAGACATTTATTTATATGAAGCGAGAATGATTTTTATTAAAAGATTTTTATGTCCACTGGAATCATAGCCAGTTTCTCATTAATTCATATATCTTCATTTTCTTTGGATATTACTTTTGTTCAGAAAACCATTTATTTACTCCTACATATTATTTCCTTTTAGTTCATATCATTTGTGTCTTATTTGGCAGAGGTAGTATGTCAATGGTCATTTATATTTACATAAGGAAACAAAGTGCTCTTCTCTGGAGCTAATAGCTGATAAATCAGTAACTTCTTTTTGAGCTGCCTGAATTGAACTCTACAATCTAAAAATTGTTTCCCTTTAGTTTGGAATTTACTTTGTTTTCTATTTGGCCTTTCTTCATTGGAAAATCTCATATAAATGTTTAGATTATTGTTAAACATTTGATTGCAAAGTTATGGTCCATGATCATATTCTTAAACCTAATTTGGAATCATAATTTTATCCTTGGCTTTAATTAGTTTCCTTACAAAAGCTCTGACTCCCTTCTTTATTTCTGAAAATGTTAATAATTTTTGTTTCTTTTTATTGTGTGGTAGTCACAAATAATACACTTAATTTGACTCTTGTATCATTGTCCTTCACCTTTCAAATGCATTTAATTTTCTTTTTTAAAAAATCACGTCAGAAATTACATGTTCATTCCTTAGCATCCTCTAGGCATTTTAGATTTTTAAACATTAATCTTAATGTTTAAAGTGATCCCATTTGAAGTGATGTATTGTTCAGGGCCTGAGCGAAATTCTTCAGTGAGAACTCCGAGCTCAGAGGGGTCCTCGGGTGCACCGAGGCACTGAAAAGCTACTTTTCACTGACACATAGGCCTTTTTATCATCGGGATGAGGTAGTGGTCATATTTTAATTAAAATGTCAGAACAAATACTGTTGGAGTTATTGAAAATGAATCACCAGATAAAGTGAGCACTGGGCCATGGCAGGTCAGAGAGGCAAAGTCACCTGGAGAAGAGAACTCAATTCATTTTCCTGACGAAACCGGGAAGAAGGAACTTTATAGCAGTATGAACTTTTACTCCATTGTAGCACATTCCTCTCTGTAGCAAAAGCCCCTCTTTTTACAGTTTGATGGCTTTTATTGTTATGCTATAACAATGATATCAAATCTTATGCGTTAGGGCATTGTAAATAATTGTGTTTTAAAATGTGTGCCCAAGGAATAGCTTTGTTTGAGCTCATTTTTTTTCCTTTTGATTTGAGATCTCTGTTCTGTATGGCACCGTACTTCATAAGCCTTTGTAACAGTCAGCCTATTCACCAGACAAGGAAGTTTATTTATTGTAAAAGATGATCTTATTGCCCTGGCTGGGTATCTCAGTGGGTTGGGGCATCATTCCTTATACCAAAAGGCTGTGGGTCTGATTCCCGGGCAGGGCACATAAGCTAGATGGCAGGTTCAATCCCCAGTTGGGGTGTGTACAGGTGGCATCCAATCAATGTTTCTCTTCTCTTCTTTTTCTTCTCTCTCTCTCATTGATTTTTCTCTCACAAATCAATAAACATATCCTCAGGTTAGGATTTGAAAAAAATGTTAGGGGGCACAGGGATTGAGCACAAAGGAAAAAGGACTCATGGACATGGATAACAGTGTGGGGATTGCTGGGGAGAGAGAGGATAAGGGGGCTAAATGGTAATGGGAAAAAATACAATAAAGATTAAATTTAGAAAAATTTAAAAGGATAATATTTTCTTCTCAAATATGATAGTTCTTTGCCATTGTATCTGAGAAATTCCAGTAGGGTTGTAGAGATTTTTCTCCTATTACTTGTCTTATTTACTTTTTCACATTTGAGGTATCAGCCAGAGCTGTTGGCATATGCTCTGTCTTAAGAAGTAGTTCCACTAATACTTCCGAGAGCCCTACTGTCCAGGCTTCTTTAAGAACATCACAGCTCTCTACACCCTTCCCTACTTCCTAGTCCAAAGGAATTCCAAAAGGTTTATGTTTAATGAACCTGATTCTGCAGGTGAGAAAATTGGTGATTGCTCATGATTCCTATTTGCATTGAATCTTGTTTTAACCTTTTTTATTGCCTTGTTTTCCATTACCATTTATCCCCCTTCTTCAGAATATCCTTCAAAGCACTCAGTGAGCAGTATGTTTTACTCTCACTATTAGCTAGAACTGTCCTAAGTGGTCTTTTATTTTACCCAGGAAAATGGTAGTTTTCATATGACCTGAAGTAATCATCTCATTGCTACTATATATTGAAATGTTGCAGTATAGTAACATCGCTGCATCATCTTCCTTTTTCCTTTCACTGTACATGGCATATAGAGTTACGTCACTCCATTCCCTCATTCATTTGCTCTCTCCAAAAAGCAGCACATCCTAAAAGCAGAAATTCCCCTTATAGGTATTATTTTTAATTAAAGTTACTGCAGCGACATTGGTTGATAAGGTCACAAAGGTTTGAAGTGGACATTTCTGTGATACATGGTCTGTGTATTGCACTGTGTGCCCACCACCCAAAGTCCAAGCATCTTCCATCACCATAGATTTGACCCTCTTTACCCTTTAGTACCCTACCCACTCCTTCCCTCTGGTTACCACCGCACTGCTCTCTGTGTCTGTGAGTTTCGGTGTTATATCCCACATGAGTGAGATCATATGGTTCTTAGCTTTTTCTGTCTGATTTCACTCGGTGTAATATCATCAAGGTCCATCCATGTTGCAAAGGGCAGTATTTCACCATTTCTCATGCTGAGAGCTATTGCATTGTAGATATGCACCACATCTTCTCTATCCAGTCCTCTACGGAAGCAATATTATTGTTATGTTGGTAGCTGGCAAGGGTGTTAAGCAGTTGTTGGACTGAGAAGTCAAACCTTTTGTCTTAATTCCCTTTTGTATTTGTTGTGTCTAGACTCAGTCAAGATTGCGACAGTTTCCTTCTTTTGGCCTCATCCTACTCTGCTGTCCTACTGAAATACTTCCCTCTCCCTAAACACAGGAGGCATCTGTGGATCATTTGCTGCTTTTATTTGGTGTGCCACTGTTGATTTCCATCTGTCTCCCTTATTTATCCTGTGCTTATCACAGTTTAATTTGCCCAAGCTCCTTTTCTAAATTACCTCTTACTATCTAGTCCTTCACACCATCTAATTGAATACAATGAGCTGTTACAGATAACCAGTTCTACTTCTGACCAATTGATTATATTTCTAGCCAACCTCCACAACCTTAATATTTTGTGACAATGTGTACTTCCCTTCCTACATGTTATTTTCCCAGCCATATCGCTGCCTTCCAGCTGACCTCAAAGAAAGATGAAGCAATTATGTATCTCTTTGAGGGTTTTAAGGTCAAAGCCTGATAACTCCCTTGTATCTAAAGCATTTATTATCTTCAGCCTCTGTCAACTTTTCATCTCCCTCATGGTCTCTCTTCAAAGCTTCAACCTATATGGAATTCCTTTCCTATAACTTATTGGATTATTCATTTCCCCAACTTGTATTTAGTGAAAACCCTCCACTGACCTGGAATTTTCATGAAATGCATGCTCTGTGTGCGTGGTCAGAAACACACTGGGCAGTAATAAAGGATGTCTAGGCTCCAGCCCACTATTAGCAGTGCTCCTGGAGTCTCATGTTAGAACTCACAGGCAGCAGGTTTAATTATTTTCCTGTAAGATTCAATGAAACTCAACTTGCCAATCAATGCACTCAGAGCCATATGGTTTGAGCTGTGAAATACGAGTCCTTTGTGTTCCTTTATTTTCTCACTAAATGGGTTTTGCCCCCTAATTTGTGCTTACCTGAAGTTAGTGATACATTATGCTCAGATCTTAGTATTAGAAAGGGGTATCTTAAGGGATCACTTTTTACATTCAGAGTTTCTTCACCCTATCACACTAATAATTATGGATTTTTCAGGATGAACTACCAAATTAACATATGTAGCATTGTTATAGTAGAGATATTTTTAGTTAAATACCAGACAATCCTATTTATCCTGGTGAGTGAGGCATTCTTGTTAATTGAATACCATAATTAGCTGAGAATTTCTCTACATTGATTACCAATTTAGCAATAAGAGTTAATCAACTAGGCAATTATACTTTTAGAATTTTCTTTATGATTCTTAAGGTTCCTCATGGTCTTAGGTCATCTTCATACACATCCATTGTTATCATTATAGACAATTGGAATATTTTGTTTAGATTCAGACTAAAAAAGATATGTACTCAATAAATATTTTAATAGTGATACTTTTGTTTTCAACCAAAGCAAATTTAATTATAACATGTATAAGGAAGAGAGACAGAAAATAACTATTAAGGTAGCAAGGAATAAGCTTTCAGTACTGAGGTAAATAAGGCCTTTCAGTAAGCACATTATACTTTGATTATACATGAAGATAGGATTAATATCAATTCAGAAATTTTTCATTGAGCATCTCTTGTGTGCTAGGGCCCCGTATGAGGAAACATGAAAAAGCAGGTGAAGGCCCACGTGCATTTCATCTGTGTCTCTGTAGCACCTAGTCCAATCTCTCACACGCAAACGTGCTCACTTTTCAGTGAGAGACTGCACTAAAACAAATTGCAGGTTCCAACCTTATTTCTGTTACTTCTTTGTTGGTTCCCATTAATTTTGTAATCCAGTAGGACAGAGAATTAGCGAGTTAGAACATCAAAGTTTGAATCCTGTATGTGCTATTTGTAATGACAGCTTTATTGAGAGATAATTCACATGTCATATAATTTACTCATTTGAAGTGCAAAATTTGGTGTTTTTAAATATATTCACGGAATTATTCAAACATTATCACAGTAAATTTTACTATATTTCCATCATCCCTAATTTTACTATATTTCCACCATACCCATTAGTAGTCAGCCCCCACTGTGTCCTCCCAGCCCTAGGTACCCACTAATCTGCTTTCAGTCTCTGTGGATTTATTGGACACCTCAGAATCCGGTCATACACTCCACTTACCATATGATTTTTGAAGTTGGTTTGTCCATGTGAAACCTAACAAAAAACCAATTTATGTTACCTTCTTAAGAGGTATAATTTAAAGATGAATGTAATCATAAACGTTTGGATACTGGTGTGAGAAATAATAGAAATCCAAGGGAATACAGATGGAGTTAAATCTAGGTAATTTACTAATCATCCAATTAATGTTAAGAATCTTACTTGTCTTAGGTTGAAAAGCCATTGCTTGAAATGTCATGCACATGTATTAAATAGAGTATCTGGATGCAGATTTACTATTGTTTATATACAAAGCTGTGATTTCCTACAATATATAGTCATGGCTTTTTTCATAATTGACTACATATTCTGGTAATTGACAACCATATTGTACTTTACAAGTAAGTCCAATTTATGTCTACATTTAGAAAATGAAGTTGAAAAGCCAAGACTTCTATGGGCTCTTTACTTCAATATGAGAGATTCTTCAGACATCAGCAGGGACTCTTATAATGATTTACCATCCAATGTGCATGTCTGCTCTGGCCCAGATGGTGGTTTGGGAAATGATAATGCAGTCAAACAGGTAAGGTGTTTCAGTCTTGTGTTAAGAACTTCATGTGATACACAAAGTGAAATGTTTTCTTTCTCCTCTGGGAGGTAGGCAAAGAGACTAGGAAAGCATCTCATTTAATACCATCTCTGCAGTTTGCCCTTCAACTTTTTTCTATGAACAGCAAAGCTACTTTAAATGACTTTAAATAATAGTATCAGAACTTTTTATGCTCTTAAGTATAATGATGAACTACAAGAGATCATTTCTGAGTTCCATTGTGGCAGTAAGAATAGAAAATGTTACAAAGACACAGTCAGAAAAATGGATGTATAGTGCCAGTATTCTGAAGAAACATTGTTTTGAATATCAACTGTTGGTCTATCAACATACTAGTTTGAAAGACACAAACTTTTTTTGTCTTCGTTTATGTGAAGCGGTCCAGCGTAGGCTGACACAAACTGCCAGCAGGGAACTATGATTCCATTAAGCTGATGATTCATATGAATATACCAATACACTTCTCTGCACCTGACAGAACCTGAAGAGCAGAAAATCTCTTTTTGGAAACATGAGTCCAAACTTTTCAAAGACAGTTGGCACATCCGTCAATTGAATCAGGAAGTGGGTACTTTACTATTGTTCTAAGGCCACAGAAGGAAGTTTCATTTCCATTGGTGACAGGCATCTTTTTCTTTTTAAAGATTTTATTTATGATTAGAGAGAGGGGAAGGGAGGAAGAAAGAGAGGGAGAGAAACATCAATGTCTGGCTGCCTCTCACACACCTCCTACTGGGGACCTGGTCCACAACCCAGGCATGTACCCTAACTAGGAATTGAACCCACCACCCTTTGATTTACAGGCCAGCACTCAATCCACTAAGCCACACCAGCCAGGGCAGTCTCTGCTGTTTTATAGAGAAGGATTCAGAAGTCGAGTTAGCATTCCCCAAATCATAAGACCACACAGTGGCAGAGCCAGTATCCACGCCCAGCTAGCTATTCAGTGCCCATGATCTTAACCATTGTGCTATATGCGCTAAAGCCCAGCGGGAGGAAAGGTGTACCAGAAAAGTAAATAGTTGAGGAAACAATGAAAATTTTTCTTCATTTGAACGACTTGCTAAAATTATTATATGCTAAATTAGACTATCCGGGTGTCACAAATAGGCTCTAGTCAGAAATTATATAAAGAATATGAAGGGAAATTATATTTGGACTGACACATAGAATGACTGTCCTTAAATTCTCAACTATCTAAACACTTGATAAAGAATCTGATCAAAGCTCTGGCTGGTGTAGCTCAGTAGATTGAGCACAGGCCTGCGAACCAAAGGATCGCGGTTCAATTCCCAGTCAGGGCACATGCCCAGGTTGCAGGCCAGTTCCCAGCAAGGGCCAGTTCCCAACAGCGGTTGCATGAGAAGCAACCATCCATTGATATTTCTCTCCCTCTCTCCTTCCCTTCCCTTCTAAAGATAAATAAATAAAATCTAAAAAAAAAGTTTTTAAAAAAGAGAATCTGATCAAGTATGTTACTCTTGAAGGCTGGACCTGACTGCATGTGTAGAATTGGAGGAAGCAAAATCATGGAATTCTGAAAGCAGGTTTTAGATGGGCGTGTATATACTGGGTCAAGTTGTATAGACTAAATAGATGGGGTGTAATCCATCTGTTTTATAAACGATACCAAAAAGGCATGTACATTTTACAATGATGTCCAAAAACTGTTGTGTTGTCTCTCTCCTGGCCAGGCTCAGGCACTCTTTCAGCAGATCTGCCCCAGTGAAGACTTCTGTCCACCCCCTCCAAATCCTGAAGACATTATTCTGGATGGAGACAGTTTACAACCAGGGGCTTCAGAATCCGTCGTCATACCTGAGGCCAGTTCAGAGATTCCCAAGGAAAGCGCAGACCTGGGGGAGCCGGAAGAGCTCTCTGAATAGCAGATACACATGCAACAAACTGTATTCCCCAGAGTCTTCTTGATCTACAGACTGTTTGAAAAAATCTTAGAAAGCAGCAGTGGATTGTCATACAGAACTACCCAGAGAACCAGGTCATAAAAATCCAAAGGGGGGTTTTCCTTAAAGAGGGCACTTCAAGAACACATAGTACTTGTAAAGCACATTAACTCACCTGCTTTAAGGTACCAAACCTGTGGAGTTACCAAGATAAGAATTACAAATGGATTGATTCCCAGGAATATAGCTTTGGAGACTGAAGTAATCCTATGCATTGTTAATAATTAATCAGCTCACTTATTTCCTCTCATTGTTTTTATTATTCTTTCTTTAAGGGTGTGAGCATCATGATACAAATGATAAAAAGCCTATGTCAATATAATTGAGAAAAACTAAAATACCGTACTTTTCCGTGTATAATGCAGTTTTTTTCCCAAAGTGTTGAGGGGGAAATAAGGGTGCGCATTATACATGGGTAGTACCTGAAATACCTTGTATCTGTTCTTGTATTTTGCAATTATGTTACATGAAATTTATAGTACCATAAATGCTAAACTTCCTTTATAATACAAAAAAGTATCTAAATATAAATAAAGAAAAAATTGAATTAAAAATTAAAATGAAAGATGTTTTTTCTGAAAGTTTGGGCCAAAAATGTGGATGTGCATTATACATGGCAAAATATGGTATTGTGATCCAGCAGGGACCTGCATTTGAAATAGAGGTTTGGTTTTCTTGAGAAATATTAAAATACGAATATTAAAGTAGATGTTTTTAACAAAGAAATCATGAAGCCATGACTTAGTGTTTTTTAGTACTAATTTTTGTATGTGAATCATTTCCACACTGAGAAAGCTCAGCACTGAAGAAAGAAATGGAAGGAAAGATTTGGATAGGCCCATCGGATTTTGGCAATTCTATAAGAAACTATCCTAATTGTCTCTGGACCTAATTTCGTGTGAGCCATGCTATTGATGATGCAAATTGTTTAACTTCTGGGCCTTGGTGTCTCCATATGGAAAGTTGAAATAGTAATATCTTGCCTATCCCATAAGAATGATTCTAAATATAAATGCAGTACCATCTTTAGAATAGTTTTTTGGGGGAAAAATTGTTTCAAATTTTCCCACCAACTTGAAGGTGACTCTCAAAAATCTTAGGCAGCAAATGATTATGGATAGCAAATAATTGTTGTCAACTTCCACAACACTGTAGATCATGGTGTTTTTATTGCACTAAAACATTCATAGTCTTATAGACCAGTAAATACAGTAACATGTGAAATTCTGCTTTTGAATCTTAATAAGGAACACACTTCATAAGGATAATTTTTTTGTATTTCTCTTCCAGTAGGTAAACGTGAAACCACCCAGGACTCTGAGTAGAGTATAACAGTTGGTAAATTCTAGAACACCCTTAACATAAAATGTCAGGGTGGTACCCAGGAAGCAAATCTAGTGACAGTGACTATATTGATTTTTTTTCCAAATGCCAAGCTCTGATGGCTTACTTTTTTGAGCAATAGTTTGGATTGAACAACTTATTTCAATATATAAAAACATAAAAAGTTTCTTGGTGTGCAGTTTGCCCAGTAGTGCCGAGCACAGAGCCATGACTGCGGTGCACAGCCCATGGGGCCTGCAGCCTTCAGCTGCAGGAGCTCTGACTTCTGCAGATTTCCAGGAACTTTCCAGGACAGTTAGCTCAGTCAGGTCCCAGGCTCACACTAAATGGAAAGAGCCAAGGAATGTATCTCTCACCTCACCTTTCCAACCTCCTACAGAGAGAGGTGAATCTAGGTGCCAGGAAGGCCTTTCCAGCCCCTCAGGCTACTCCTCCTAATTCTTCTGCCCTCTATGCAGCCCCTCCCCTCTCTCTTTAGTTCCTTCTTCCTCTCTTCTGTTTTTTTTTTTGCAATACTATTCAAATCAGGGACAGAAGAATCACATGATAATCTACTTTGTTAGATGGATTCAGATCTTTCTGAAGTCAAATCACGTTTCCTGAATCCTAAGTACAGCATGTGTTAAATGCTCAGTACTACCTGTTAGCTCCCAGGCATTGGCCCTGCCCCTCACTACCAGCAATATATAGGGTTCCAGTATATGAAAGTATTGAGTTGGAATACAATTGCACTAAGTTGCACTAATTAAGATACTGTATTTTGTCATAGTCTTAGAGTTAAGGTCTCTTGAGTAGAGCATGCACATTTATATAAGCAGCCAAGCACAGTAGGCCAAGGATAGTCTGTGGTTTCACCCATTGTGCAACATCAGGATCTCTCTTCCAGGTTATTAGATCCTGTTGAAATGTTTTAAAATCTCCTAAGTATGATTAGTGATGATTAAGATATTACACAACTGTTAAAAACATTGTGTTAGAGAAAGTTAGATATTTCCTGTTGCCTCAAAATGTAAGTTATTTTAAGAGCTTTCTTTTCAGTTATCTTAATTACTGCAAATAAATATTTGTTTATTGTTTAACTCAAAAAAAGAAACCTTTTCCTTTTGTTGTAAAACCGTAAGCCTGAAGTCACATGAATAAAATTAATATGTTGTACATGAAGCAGAAATTTCAGTAACTAATATAATGTTTTAAAAATTGCTATTATCAAAGAATTCTGATTCATGTGTTTCAAGTGTTTAGGTATGCATGCTTCTCATTAATCAAAATTGATAATACCATTCAGTTTAGTGATCAATATGAAACCAATTACTAATCCTGTTGCTACTGTATTTTTGTCTTGTTGGTATGCCTGCCCAGAAAAACAAATATATAAACGTATATAACAAATGTATATATTTTTCTATAAGAAAACTGAGTTTCAGTCTTCCCCATCTCCTGTGATATTTAGTTCCTGTAGTAAAATCGCAGGGTTAATGATTAAATTTGGAATGGTAGCCCTCTGTCTAAAATAATGGCTGTGCTAATGATTAACTTCTACCACGGCCATAGTTCCTTAGAAGGCAGCCCTTTTCCTCAAGACCCAAAGACCTCAAAGTGTGTTGTTGGAATTGGATTGCTGAATAGTAGTGATCCTTTAAAGCAGAAATGAAATCATTTTCTTCCAAAAGAGTTATGTACCCCTATTGGTATTCAATCATTCATCTCTCTACTCTTGGTTAGTTGTCTTATATGCATTTCAAAAAGCATGAATATATGATTATTCATACTTTGCATACTGTAACAGAAAGTTTGTAAAGGAAATAAAAGTGTTTTCAATGCCTTTTGGGCGTGGTATCCTATTTTTTTATATTAAAGATTTGTATATATGCCAAGAAATTAAAGACTGTCTTGGAAATGATTTATTTGTTGACATCAGTTTATTATTTAAACACTTAATTGTCCAGCTGCACACTCTGTTTTCTTTCTAGGCATTTGTTAACTGTGTCTGGTTTATGAGAAAAGTAATCAACTGGTGCATGGGTGTGGTTTACCCAGTGAACTGTTCTAGATGCCAGTATCAGATCTCATTCTGTTTAAAATCACTGCTGTGAGGCATGGGCTCTGACTTTACAGTACATTGATTGCTTACAAACTGTTCTTACATTTCACTTGGTGTACAAGCGTCTGAAATGGTTTCCATACTTACTTGGTCAATGAGAACCCTTTTTTGCATGTATCCCCAGCAGCTTGCATGCAACAGACGGGACTGATGACTTTCTTTTCATGCAGAAGTCATTCATTCAACTCTGATTTGTTCTTGAACCAAATACTTAAAAGAAAGCAGAGTGACATCTTCCCTCAATTCCAGGTAGTTTCTAAAGCTTCTCAGGACACATGAAAAAGATGACAGAACTGTTTGTAAACTGGCAGTTTATCTATGAGATTATTAATAAATCAAGTTTAAGAAAGGTAAGGTTAGTTGGATTGTCAAACAAGTAGCTATATCATCCTTCAAGCACTTTGGAACTCACAGTATTCACAGATGTTTGGAACTTTTTTTTAAACAAGTGCTTAGATAATGTTGGAATTCTCCTCTTTAATAGTGACTTTAAAAAATGCCACTGAAATGGTTTAACACGTAGCAGCCTGAGTCACATTTTGTCACTGCTCTTCCCATTAATACAGTCTAGCTCCAGGGCTGCAGTGAGTTGCCATTCCCGTACAAGTTGCCACATCTGCTCTTTCTGGTGATGATGACTCTTAGGCCATTTGACAGGCAATCATCCGAACTTGAATCCTACAAGACCATAGGGTCTTTGGTCTATCATGGCACGGGGATTTATGCTGGTAACTCCAATTAATGTTAATAGGACCTACATGTGTAAATCCTTCTATCGGTGATACCGTTGACCCCTAGAAGAAATATTCTTTAGAGATGGGCACTTGCTGAACTAGCAGCATTAATGAAATATTCTATTGAGAATTATCATGTATGGGTGGGATGGGGAAGAAAATAAGACTGTACCAATTCAGCTGAGGATTTGTAGAGCTTGAAAAGATGAAATTCTAGCTCTTAATTTTCTAATCTCACTTCTAATATATATTAAGTGCTATTCTTTTTCATCTTATTAAAAATAGCATTTTTTTTTTGCCCTGACTGGTATGGCTCACTGGATTGAGTGTGGCCCTGTGAACCAAAGGGTCATTGGTTCGATTCCCAGTCAGGGCCCATGCCTGGGTTGTAGGTCAGGTCCCCAGTAAGGGGACGTGCAAGAGGCAACCACACATTGATGTTTCTCTCTTTTTCTCCTTCCCTTCCCCTCTCTCTAAAAATAAATAAAATATTGTTAAAAATAACATTATTCTTATTTTTTAATTGAAATTATTTAGCCCACAATTTAATGCAAATCACCTTTTACTGTATAGTTCTACCCTAAGTGTTCTGGAGATATTGAACATTTGGGAGGTGTGTAATGATGCCCACTGTCGTAGCAATCAAGGAAATGCAGACCAAACCAGGAGACATATTTTTTGCCCATTAGGTTGGAAGAATCAAAGACCTCACACGGTTCTAATTGCCATCAACCGCCCCATTGTGGTTTCCTGAATGTCATCAATGGTCTGAAATCTGTTCTCTTTCAAAGGTGATTTTAGGTTTGGGAAAATCCAGAAGTCGCAGGCTCCAAATCTGGCTGTATGGGGGCTGAGTCACTTGGGTGATTTGATGTTTCACCAAAAGTCTGCACAAGACATGATGCACGAGTGGGTGCGTTGTGATGAAGCTGCCAACCATTTGCCCATAGCTGCAGCCTACTGAATCATCCAAATAGTTTCCCCAGAGAAATGTTCAAGCTTTACACAAAATTGGATGCAGATTCGTTGCCCTACTCAGTCATTTTGAATGCAATGTGGCTGCTAGGTTACAATGCTGTTCTGCAGTGTTCTCATCCCATTAACAGCGGGTGGGCTTTTTCCAGATTTTATATATATATATATATATATATATATATATATATATATATATATATATATATATATTTTATGAACTATTACTTGATTATAAAAAAGAATGAAAGCTTACCATTTGTGACAGCATGGACAGACCTAGACAGTATTATGCTACGTGAAATCAGGGAAAGCCAAATACTATGCGATCTCACTTAAATGTGGAATCTAAAGAACAAAAATGAACGAAATAGACTTGCAAACACAGAGAAGTTGACAGAGGAGGGGGTTGAGGGGTCTGGGTAAAAATGTGAAGGGATTAAAAAGTATAAAATTGGTAAATCTCAAAATAGTAACATGATGTGAAGTACAGCATAAGGAACATAGTCAATAATAACCACACAGTGCCAGGCTGGCATTTGAAATATGAGGGCCACCACTTTGTAATATGATTTTCTAACCACTGTGCTATACCCCTGAAACTAGTACAACACGATATTGAACAAAACTTGATCTTTTTAAAAGTATTTTTAGAGAGGGAGAAAGAGAGGGAGAGAAACATCAATGTGTGCTCGCCTCCCACGTACCCCCTACTGGGGACCTGGCCTGCAACCTAGGCACGTGCGTGCCCTGACTGGGAATGGAACCCGTGACCCTCTGGTCTGCAGGCTAGCACTCAATCCACTGAGCCACACCAGCCAGGGCTTGATCTTTGTTTCTAATAATGTGTTTCCTTTTTTTTGTTTGCTTGTTTGTTTAGTTTGAATTTCTGACAGGCTGACCCATACCGTAAGATCTCGGTAGCTAGGGGAAGCCAGCCATATTTTCCACAAAGTGGACAGAGGAGCAAAGTCAGTTCGCAAAGAAAAAAGCAGTTGATGAGACAGAATTGCCAAGTGAACCTACAAGTGGTTTCTGAGAGCTTTCTAACTCCAGGATCCAGTCTTTCTTGAGGCCCAGTATTATTCTTGCTCTTAGGATGTGTAAAACCCTTTGGTCTCCTTATAACCAGATTCCATTTGATGTTCATAAAACATGTTGATTTCTGATACTCAGAAACAAAGTTTTAACTAAGTGAACCAGTTGGGGAATTTTTTTTATTAAATTTAAATTTTTAATGAAAAATTTTGTTTTTCTTTTTTTTTTAATTAAATTTTATTTAGGTACTTTTCAAGTACATTTTTATTATCTATTTCTCCCATCCCACCCCCACCCCCCAGCTAGGTCTCCCCCCTCCCTCCCATTCCCCCCCCCCAGTCTTCATCCCTGTGTCTTTCATACTTGTTCCTCAAAATCCCTCTCCCTTTTTCCCCTTAAATTCCCTTCCCTCTCCCCTCTGGTCGCTGCCCACTTGTTCTCTATGTCAGTGTCTTTGTTTTTATTCTGTTTGCTTGTTTGTTTTATTCTTTAGCTTCCTGTCAAAGGTGAGATCATATGGTATTTGTCCTTCAATGCCTGGCCTATTTCACTCAGCATAATGCTTTCCAGTTCCATCCATGTTGTTGCAAAAGGTAGTAGCTCCTTCTTTCTCTCTGCTGCATAGAATTCCATTGTGTATATGTACCACAATTTTTTGATCCATTCGTTTACTGATGGGCACCTAGGTTGCTTCCAACTCTCGGCTATTGTAAATTGTGCTGCTATGAACATTGTGGTGCATAGGTTCTTTGAAATTGATGTTTTAGGATTCTTGGGGTATAATCCTAGCAGTGGAATTGCTGGGTCAAAAGGCAGGTCAATTTTTATTTTTCTGAGAAAATTCCATACTGTTTTCCATAATGGTTGTACCAGTCTGCAATCCCACCAACAGTGAAGTGAACTAAGGTCCCCTTTTCCCCACACCCTCTCCAACATTTGTTGTTTGTTGCTTTGTCTATTATAGCCATCCTGACTGGTGTAAAGTGGTATCTCATTGTGGTTTTAATTTGCATCTCTCTGATAGCTAACGATATTGAGCATCTCTTCATGTGTCTCTGGATATTCTGTATGTCCTCTTTAGAGAAGTGTCTGTTCAAGTCCTTTTCCCATTTTTTAATTGGGTTCGATGTCTTCCTAGAGTGGAGTCGTGTAAGTTCTTTGTATATTTTGGAGATTCAACCTTTGTCTGAGGTATCATTGGCAAATATGTTTTCCCATACAGTTGGTTGTCTTTTTAATTTAATACTGTTTTCTTTGGCCATGCAGAAGCTTTTTATTTTGATGAAATCCCATTTGTTTATTCTTTCCTTTATATTCCTTGCTCTAGGGGACATATCCGTAAAAATGTTGCTGCGTGGAATATCTGAGATTTTCTTGCCAATGTTCTCCTCTAGGACTTTAATGGTGTCACAGCTTATATTTAAGTCTTTTATCCACCTCGAATTTATTTTGGTGTATGGTGTAAGTTGGTGCTCAAGTTTCATTTTTTTGCACATAGCTGTCCAGTTCTCCCAACACCATTTGCTGAAGAGGCTATCTTTACTCCATTTTATGTTACTGCCCCCTTTGTCGAATATTAATTGACTGTAGAGGGTTGGGTTGATTTCTGCCTCTCTGTTCTGCTCCATTGGTCTATGTGCCTGTTTTTATGCCAGTACCAGGCTGTTTTGATTACAGTGGCTTTGTAATACAGTTTGATATCAGGTATTGTGATCCCTCCTACTTTGTTCTTCTTTCTCAAAAGAGCAGCTGCTATTCGGGCTCGTTTATGATTCCATATAAATTTTTGAAGTGTTTGTTCTATGTCTGTGAAATACGCCATTGGTACTTTAATAGGTATTGCATTGAATCTGTATATTGCTTTGGGTAGTATGGACATTTTGATGATGTTAATTCTTCCAATCCATGAACACGGTATATGTTTCCATTTGTTTGTGTCTTCCATGATTTCTTTCTTCAGTGCTGTGTAGTTTTCTGCATACAGGTCTTTTACCTCCTTGGTTAGGTTTATTCCCAGATATTT